TTCCGCCTTGCCGTACTTACCACCCTTATCAAACCACTTAAAAGTTATGCCAGTAGTTGCAACACTGACTCGCTTATATGGGTAAAATCCGAATTTCGCGGATATCCTACCGTACGGTCTGTAGAAAGGGACGGTAGAAACAATGGTGAGTGTTCATTTACATTGCGCTCTCATAAGATGGGTCGTATCAGTTGATTCAGTCGAAGACAACTAGTTTTTCATTGCTCCAAACCGATTGAGGTTAGACCAGAGCTCTAAAAGTAGTCGCGAAAATAATAAGATTTACTGAGGTATTTGAAGTTCTCTCAAGATTTTGTTAAGATGTTATATAAGTTGTTTACGATTAGCCAAACTTTTGAGAGAAGCGATTAGGATATACACCTGGTATGAATTACTGAGTATGACATAGTCAAATAAGTATGATGTAGAGAGGTTATACCAGCTTATTGAAAAAAGGCATTTTTTATTGGAGACATTCAAAATTCTTCACCAGAGTTATGAATGACCTCACATAGTGAAGAGTATTGTGTGTTCGTCACACGAGTTAATGGCTCACAGCAAAATTAGTTCAGAGCAAATCGGAAGCATACATTCATATGCATTTTGAAACGTTTGCTTATTTTAAATATTTTTGGAGAATACACACAAATAAATCTTTCTCATGTGAAATTTTGCTGATTCTCCTTGTGCAGTTATTTACATACTTGTATATATGTACATTGCATACGAATATAACTCAAAAAATTTCCATGCACATTTTCCGCCAACGAAACGTCGAATATTTTCACACTTGCCACACTTGTCAATATTAATGTCATTTTTCGGTTTCCAAAAAGGGGTGGGTGGACATAAAAGCATTTCAAAAGATACAAACAGGCAAAGGTATGAGCATATATACATAAATAAAACGACAAAATACATGTGTATGGGAACATAAATGTTGACACATGTACAAGAATATATATATATATATATATGTGTGTATGTATGTATGTGCGTATGTGTGAAAATATATCACAGACTCTGCTGTGCCTTAGCTAGGAAGCACTGCCTCACTAGATATACTTTGAATGATCAGGGAAGATCGATGCGATCACTCAACAGGGCGCACACACACAATCATTTGTGCCTATATATGTATAGATGTGAATATACATATATGTATGTGCTTTAGGTGACGCGTAGACGCAAGCTATCAGTGTCATTTGCTACAGCGTCAATCAAATTTTGAGTAAAGTTAAAGTCAAACGAAAACATTCTGCGATTATTTTGGTTTTAGAACAAACATGCAAACATATATAGCTACACTAGGGTGGGCCAAACAGATATCTTGAAAATATCGTCCCAAATGATTTTGATTTCCCATAAAAATAACACGGGAATTCTTTCTTATTTTATTTGTATGTTAAATGCGTTTAAACAAATTATTGTATAGTGGAAATGAAAACTTATTCTTGTAGGGAATTTTACGATCTACAAAAAATAGTATTCGAGGTCAAAGTCTAACTATAAATCGGAAAAGATAATTTCAACAATTTTGTACATTGTATCACAAAATAATGCCTTAAAATCATACATATCTAATTTTTATTTTACTATTGTTGTTTTTATGCGATAAATTCATAGAAACTGTGTTTTTTATTTAGCTCGAGTGGAAAAGGAAACTTTTATTATGTTATAAAACTAATGACTTTTATTACTACTTTTTTGCCCTCCTTAAGCTACACACACACAGAGGCTCTATATATATGTATAGTAATGTAAATTTGTATGGTTGGTCGGATGCTGAGTTAACGTATCCGTAAACACTTTCCCCCGCACGCACTGCGACACATATGCTGCACGCATGTGTAAAATCACATATACAGCTACAAATATTCTTGTATGTATGTATGCATAGATTCTTATTTGCGCGTCACTTGAGACATATTTCAACTCGGCAACCGCTTAATGGATGTATTTCAATCATATTTCTTCAGCGTAGCGTTTATGTTATGAAGTCTAATACAACAACACATGAGCGCTAATAATGTGTTCCATAATGAGTTTGAAATAACAAAAACAACAACAACAAATATGTGCATCGGTAAGCTATTAATGTTAAACTATAGTATTAACATCGCGCGTTTGCCGTGCCGCGTTGGAGTCGCGCTTGGCAGCTAAAGCCTTAAAATTTCGTTATGTTATTGCGCTTCGTCGTCATGACGGCAAGCGCAACAGTGGCATTCACTGTTTAAATGCGCTGAGCCGCGAACCCTAATATGCAAAGAAATTTAAACACATATTTACCATATACACATATGTATGTGTGTATGCTGCATGCGCCCCTGCTTCCGCCGCATACAAAACGCTTACATACATACTATATACTTTCTACTACGAGCATTTTATACTATGTGCAAACATTTATAACGAATCTGCGCTCCATACGCGGTGCGCTGATTCTAGACTGAGCGCTGGAGCATGCACACACACATAAAGTTGTTTAATTTAAAGCGACTGCCGTGCGGCATAAACGCGCGCACTGCTTTTTCAAAATTTCATACATTTACCACTGTGTGTACATATGTGTGAGTATGTGTTTGTGTGCGCATTATGAATGTTGAATATTTTCACTTGTTTTTATTAGATTTAATTTAATACCATTCCATTCCATTTCACTGCGCTGGTTTCAATGAAAGACACAGGCGACGGATCATCCGCTGACCGCGCGGCAAACAATCCAAACTTATTCAACGCGTTTAAACAAAGAACCCCAAGCCGAAAATTCGTAAATATAAGCATTTACATGCATTTAACAATTTTACGAACATTTAACAAATACACACATGCTACTATATAGCATGTACATATAAGTATGTGTGCCCAAATCGCCCCTAAATAATATTTAAAAAATAAATTCATTACTCTTCACAACGCGCTGGAACAATGACAGCGTCGTCCATCGTCATCGCAGCGCATAATTGGCAGCCATGATGTGGCGCGACCGTTCGCTTGCTCTTTGCTTGACGGACGGCCCACTAGTCTGACTGACTGATTCTCAATCTGACTCTGATACAGTTTCAGATTCAGATTCCGAGTCTGACTTGAACGCGACTGCTTGACAATTTGCCCGAGTGGCTGCGTGCTGAAGTGTATGTGGAAATACCATCATCAAAAATATATCTGAGGTATTAAACCACTAGTTGGGTCGATTAACATGCGGTCGCTATGTCTGTCTCGGCACGTCCGAAGCGGCGTCAACCGCGGCGGCTTCCGAAACAGTTTTAAATCAGCGCGCAAATAAATCATTTTATTCTGCAAAATGCAGTGTAATGTAAAACAAAAACAATTTACTCTTCTGAACATACACACTTCCACACTTCCACACATATACACATACACATGGCTTTCCTTGCGTATTTGCCCACTTGTGGCGAAAAAGTTAACTATTAGCATTCTGTTGATAATAATAAAACTGAGTTTTTGTTGTTGCGCGTTGTCACTGAAAGGGCGGCCTTTGTGTCTGTAGCGGCAATATACACTTTTTGACGAGTACTGGTTGTTTGGCTTGGAAGCGTATTTGCAAAATTTTGATTTTACAAACCAGAGCACTGATTAATCATAATGATATAGTTTTTATTTTCAAATAATTTTTTGAGAGAGGCATGCATTTTTAAAAGTTGGGGTAAACAATTTAAATGGTAAATACGTATGTGTATAATTTATGCAATAATTTACTTAAAAATGTGATTTTTTGTTAAATAAAATTATTGTTTTTAAATTCAAATAATATTAATATATTTTATTCATACACATGTACATCCATATGAGTATATAAATGAACATAAATATGTAATTTTATTTCGTTTTATTTTGTACAAATTTATTCACATTATATAATATTAAAAAACATAAATTTAAAGTTTAAATATTTTTTAACTCGTATTTAATGTAAATAATATATTTTTTATTAGCAAAAACTTGGTTTTAAAATATTGTAATATATTTTTAGTATTAACAATTACATTGAAATAAAATTGAAAACTAAAAACATCATTTTTCATTTATAAACTTATTTACCAGTTGTTTTTCAAAATCAAATTAATATTTGTAAATTCTATTAATTTGAAGATCTAAAAATATTAAATTTTTAAAACACAAAAAAATATTTAGTAACGTATATTATATTTTTATGCTAATTGTAAATTTTCTCTTCACTAATTTTTGAAAAATATATTTATATATACATATACATTTTGTATAAAAACATATTTTTTATAATTAAATGTTTAAAAAAATTAAGTACATAAAAAACTATTATTTATATACATACGATATAAGCTCAAATAATTTACGGCGTCATTGTTTCGGCAGAAAAAGAGCAAATAATTTTAATATTCAATATATATTTTTAATATTTTTCGTTGGGATTTTATTGCTTTTCTGATGTTTTTTTCGTTATTATATTTGAACAATTTCTTTGTTTTTGTGTTTTTTAATATTTCCAATTTTTTGAAATCACTTTAACACTGGTGTCCCTCGTCCTAAAGTCTTTATTCATATTTTTCTCAAATAGATTTTCACTGTTTTATACATATTTTTACTACTTTTTAGTTTACAAACACTTTTGAGTTTCACTATACATTTTTTTTCTTCAAATTGTATTATTTTTTAACGCCATTATTTTATAACAGTAATTTATCCACTTAGCAATTATTATGTTGTTATATGTTTGGAATTAGTTCGCACTAAGCACCAATTTTTCAATATATTGAGTTTTGTAAGAAAAAAAAATATTTTTGAGGATTTCTTTTTCCACCAAAAAAATTTGATTCAACATATTTAAAAAAAATTCAAAAAAAAAATCAAAAATCAGAAAAAAATATTCATATGTACTGATTTTGTTTTTGTTTTTTGATCATACAGCACATCACCGACTCAAATTAACACCAGGAAAGTAGTTGTATAATCATATAATTTTTTTATATACTCTTATTTTTCATATACCATCAACTTACGTTATTTAAAACATTTGCTTAGGGGCAAAATTAAAAATACACTTTCAAGACATCTGAAAGATTTTGCTTAATCAACGTTTGCTTCGCTTAGAAAAAACTTAGATAAAAGTTTCTTTCTATTTTACTATTTTTTTGTATGTTTTAATTTAACATTTGCCGCCGACGCGTATGTGACTAGCGCGCTGGGTTCGTTACAGTTATGAGTTACGATATTCGTCGAGTTTGCGTTGAGACTGAAGCGTTACGCGTCGTGCAATCAGTGTTTAAACTCAAACGAACAAAACGGCGGGCAAATCGGATCGTGTTGTTGGCTCGCAAACGAAATGATCTTCGTATCGAGAGGCAACAACCACCAGACGAACCAACCAGCGTTGGCGTGTAAATTTTGCTTAAGCTCTACAGTAGTGCATGGATAATTTGAATTCAGTGACAGAAGAAGAATATTTGTTCGAGAATTGATCAATAAGACTTTATTACTATATTGCTGTGTGGTGAACAAAGTACTTGTAGTAGTATTTATACTACTTGTGTTCTGTTCTACAAATATGTCTCGGTTCTGCGATCCAGAGGCAGAGACACCGGAAGGAGTCAGGTTATCAGGCAAATGAAATCGGTAAGACAACACATCTCAATCAATAACACGGCAGCTTTATTACCCTGATTGATTCGATTGAGTTAACTAGGTAGGTAGTGTGATAACAGGAGAGGGCACAATAGACCATAGGTCGCAGTTAATTCCTCAACTTTCAGTCTATCTTTATCGAGCTCAGCAGTTTTTCAGTTTACAACCCCTTGCAACTTCGTTAGCACATATAATGTGGTCTGAGGACAAGTTATTTTGGGTTGTTAACACAAAATTGAAGCTGTTAACGGCAACATGGTCGGGAGCATTTAAAGTTTAATGCGCGCCAGGTTGTATATTTCTCGAGGAGGTGGTAGTTCTCCGATTTTCGGGATTCGCCGAAAACTGCGATGTCTAAAACAGCTAACGATTTATAGATAAACAATCTTTTGTATACTCTTTAGAAAGTTTTCTGTCGAAAATTATGGGATTTTGGAATTAACGCAAAAGCAATCGTAGCAAAAAAATTAGCGCCATTTTAATCTGTAAGCCGATATGCACGGAATGGACTATTATTAAACGAATATACCAAAAATTGGACTTTTGGTAGATAGTTGGAAAAAAAGTTGCAATTTTTGATTGATAATAGTTCATTCCATGCCTTTACATATGCTGAACGTACCCTACAAATTTCAAGTCATTCGACCAAATGCGGTTAAAGTTTCAAGTCTGCCAACTCAGCACTCCGAACTGCTCCTCCTTCTCACTGCTACTCTACTTTAAGCCAAAATAATGTCAAGTCTTACAGCGACCTTAACCTTTCAATACTTCCTCTTTTTATACCAAAGAAGTGTGTATGTGAGAATCACGTCCTGTGAAAAATTTGTATTTAAAGATATTCTTGCAAATAAAAAAATCTTTATAATACTAAAATTATTTGCTTCGAAACATATGATTTAAATTTGAATCTACCATACTCTTACAAAGTACATCTTTACATTTCAATAAATTTTGGTCCCAATTATCGAGTATTTACTGTAGGCACACTATTTTAATGAATATATCGATGGTTTTGCTCGAGTCAAATTAAGCGAATAGTGGACATTCGCTGCTGGCAGTGCTGGGCACACAACATTAGCGGCTCACTATATCGATTTTTTGTTGGATCATAGCAGTGTGCTCTTAAATGAGAAAAAAGCAAAAAAGAGAGCGTAGTCAAGTGAAAATTAACATTTTGATCAGAGAACATATATCACGTACTCTTCACGTTCCGGTTTTGTTATTATTAAATGCAAAGAGCAATTTTCTTCACGCTTACAAATGCATTCATGTATGTGTTGAGTAAGAGCAATTGTCTTACTTTCCGCCTTGGTCAAACATTAAACAGCCTTGAAATTATTTACAAGATTTTTTTCGACATTTTTTCTTTGTAGTCTAATTTTTGTAGAAAATTAAAAACAAATACATATTTCACTACTAATTGTACGCAGTTGATAGCAATAGAAGTTTGATCGCTGAACTGATTTTCCTTTAATTTGTAGAACGACGAAGACAAAATAAAAATTTATAGTTAACATATCTGATAATTTCCTTTTAGATTTGACCAGAGAACGTAAATGAATTCATATGTCCATATCATATGATATGTCCACGCTAATTTCCGACATTCTCCTTGTACAATATAACAATAGCATAATCACAGGCGCAATGAAGATTTCCATTTTCTATACTTTGAAGTTTGTTACATCCATAAGAAAATTTCGGAGACTATAAAGTATATACTTGTATGTATGTATATCAATGATCATGACGAGCTGAGTCGATTTAGCCATGCCAGTTTGTCTGTCCAATGTATATGTATGTACATGCAGTTTTGATATATCGATCTGAAATTGCGCATCCGTATTTTCCTTACCAAGAAACTGCTCATTTGTCGGAACGGCCAATATCGGACCACTATAGCACATAGCTGCCATACAAACAGAACGATCGGAATCAAGTGCTTGTATGGAAAATTTTTTTATTTGAGGAGATATTTTCACGAAATTTCGCATGGTTTATTTCATAAGGCAATGATGCAATCTCCACAGAAATTGTTCGAATCGGATTAATAAAGCATAAGCTGCCATAAAAACTGACCGAACAAAGTCTTTGCAAAGAAAGCATTTGTGAAGGGCAATACAGCTTCGGTGCAGCCGAAGTTAACCTTTTTGTACTGAAACAGTTAATTTTGGTAGAAATATTTTATATTTATTAAATAGTTTTTTTACTTAGATTTAAATTACAATATCGCGACAATTTAGCACATACACATAACAGATATAAATGTCAGAGTTATTTTAAATATAATTTTATACCAGCAACAAAAAATTATCCAGACCGAAAGATACAAAAAATATACGAGTATATGTAAATGTAAATAAACACAAAAAATTTAAATGCGTTAACAAAAATATATTAATAATCTTAAATTGCAGCAAATATTAATGCAATACTAAATTTAATGTCCAAATATTAGTGTAAATATAAATTACTGCTTAACTTAATTTTATGTCATAATTACAAGTGTTAAAAAAATGTTTACATACAAAAATGCAATGGTTGATTTTTGTGTAGTACGAGTTTTGTTGTAAATAGTTATACTTTGTTTTTGCCGGTTTATTGCATTGCTTACAGCTGTCACTCGCGTATACAAATGTCAAACAGTTCCTAAACATAAGATTTTGTGGTTAAAAAAAGTATATTTTTCACAAAAATTATAATTTTTTCATTTCTAATATTGATTAATAAAGTAACTTAACTTAGCCTTCTTTCCGTTGCTGGGAGTAAAATTTAAAATCATTAAATCTTGAGTTGTGGTGTATACGTTTTTGCAGTACGCTGCATTAAATACCGTTAAATTTTTAAATTACATTTTGTGATTATTTTACTTAAAAAATATTTTTATAATAATTTAACTGTATTAGTAGAAACAAAATTATTTCTAACTAACAAAATGACATTGATTGCAAAATTATTTTATGCTCACACCTATATTTTTTTACATACATTGCTATAGTTTTTTTTGTATGTGTAAATTTATATATGTATATATCTAGTCTAAAAAAGCACTTTGAATTTTCACTCTAAGGCAACTCGGTGATTATTCTCCACGTTAACAGCGCTTATATTCTTATCGATTTCGTGAATGCTTCTGCTTCTGCTGCTTGGAAGGCGCTCTGAGTAATTATTCAACGTTTTGTTTTTGTTTTTGTTTTTAATTAGCCTGTAACTTTACTATTTGCTATAAATAACTGTGATATTTTCATTAATGTTCAGCCGCTGCAAAGAGAAATCAAAGATTTAAATAAATTTGCAAAAACAAGAGTTTTTTGAAACAAACAATATTTGGAAGTGGTGATATAGCATTTTCAAGCATAATACATTTTTTTAGTAATAGAAAATCGTACAATTAATAGTCATAACATTTGTTAAGGAAAAAATTGGTTTGCATTTCTCAAGCTAAAATTAATGAGCGGTGAATTTTTCTGTCACCTTATACCCTTAAACAAAACTATTTATACTATTAAAGTATAAAATAATAGTAAATAAATTATAAATACACCCCATAACGGTAGTTTTGGGTAAAAATTGTAATTAAATTGCTTACTTGTCCTGGCAATGACATGCGAACTGCCAATCGGTTGGGAATACTTCGCGCTTCGCAAAATTTTTCTTTCTTTCTTTCACACTCTCTTCACAAAAAGTCATTCATATTGATGTAATTTTTAAAACTGAAGAAGAGCACAACAAACAACATAACGGCGTTGCAATGAAAAATATATTAGTAAAAAAGAAAAATTGGAAATTGCATTCAAAACTTTCAAATAAATAGGACAATCACAGGGAAACGTAAAAGGCAAACGAAAAATGTGAAACGAGTGCATATGAGAAACATAGTTACACAGTTGAGTTGAGAGGATTTCGATTAGCTTTCCAAATTGACTTTTGACATGACACAGATAAAGGATAAGGTAGAGTTAGATGCGTAACACAGTGGGAAATTAAGGAAATGTAATAAATAATATAAATAGCATGTAAGACCATTTCTTATGAAAATAATGTTCGAAAACCTTATAAGTTTTATGTTATTTGAGTAGATGAGTTACGTTCTCCTAACGGTTGTTTGGAACACCATAAAATAATCAAATAAAAAAATGTTAAATGAAATGAAGGTTTCGATTAAATTACATGTGTCCATCTGTATGATGCTCGGAGAATGAGCAAAACATGAAAAAAAATCAAAAGAGCTGAATATCAATGGTATGTGGTATGACGTTCAAGAGCAGCATATTGTTGATACAAAACTTATGAAATGTACCCATATCCCCGCACACTATTAAATTATCTATCGTAGTCAATTTTTGTGATGACTTTTCTCCAAATTATGTGAAATTGAAGCTATATAACGACACCCCCTATAGTATGAAAATATTGATAATTTAAAAAGTTGGTTCAATTGGGCCACCACTCCGCTTATATCTAATATGACGTAATATTAAATTCCATCAGTTCAATTTGAATTTTAAATAGATAGCCCAATCAATAAAAGATGTATTGAAATAAAAATTATTTCTTGTTATCTAAAAAAAAATGCTTAAAAAATTGCTGATGTCTTTAAAGCGGCATAGAAATTACCCAAATCATTCGGAGTTTATTAATGTGGGTCCGTTCCGGTTATGTAGACCCGAATGATAAGTCGAGCGACCATGTCTACCTACCAAATTACTAATATTTTAATTTTTATTGCCACAAAAGGTATTTTTTTTACAAATTTCCAGTAGCTTATTTTCATACCAAATATCTACAAGTACCTACATTCGAATTTAAATATTTATGGTAAATTATGTTGGGTCTATAACTATATTTGTGCGGTTTGCCAAGAGACGGGGTAACTTCATTATTATTCCATTGTCCAAATTTTCCGAACATGCGTTAGAAATATCCTTGTGTATCTTTTTCATTATATGCCATTCATTTGAAGCGTAAACATCAATTCTTTTTTTTACTCAAATATGTTAAAGTTTCTCCCTGAAAAAAAGTTCTTCTTCATTACGTTAATGTGAAGAAAACTTCAGCCGAAAGTCATTGTTTTTTGGTGGAAGTGTAAGCATTCTTAAACTGAGCGAACGTGCCAAAAGTGATTTGCACGATTTAAAAATAGTGATTTTAGCTTAGAAGACGAAGCACGGCCTTGGCGGCTTAAATGTTTGATAACGAGGTACCATTCATTACTCGATGAAGATTGTTGCCAAACACAAGAAGAGCGCGAAAATCTTTGGGAGTGACTCGAACAGCCATTTCAAAACTTTTAAAAGCAGCCGGATACATTCAAAAGCAAGGAGATTGGGTGTGCTATATGTATTAAAGTCAAGAGACGTTGAAGGATGATTTAGTTCTTGCATCGGATTGTGGCTGGTGATGAAAAATACATCCGTTACGACAACCTTAAACGCAAAAAATCATATTATATATGAAAGCTGTCGGCGGTTGCCGAAAAACGCTCGGAATTTGCGACTAGACACAAAGCAATAATTTTCTATCTTGACAAGGCTCGGCCTCACGTTGCAAGACTGGTTAAAAACTATTTGGAAACCAGCAGCAGGGAAGTTTTGTCTCACCCGCCTTGCATCTTTTGAGTACCGAAAATTGGCTTGATTCACTCTTGGGCGTCAAGCCGGCGCAGTTCTTTTGGAATGGAATCCACAAAAGCAAAATGTTAAAGCTTCGGACGGTTAATACTTTGAATAATACTAATATAGCAACCCGATTGGCTTGATATAGTGGAAGTGTATATATGTATGTATATTACCTATGATCTACAATTCATCTGAATTTTACATAAAATTAATTAAATTCAAAAGTATATTAACTTTAATAATGTAAGTTTGAAAGTTTCATGGACGACCATTTAACACAGAATCTAGCATAAAGATTTAGTTTAATCAATTTGAGATGTATCATCATTAGAAATATTTATTGTGGATCAATGAAGTATTTTTAGTCATTATTGAAAATTTTTTCACATGGTTGCCAATGGCTCGTAAAAAAGAGTTAAATCGCGGATCTGATGCATTTGCAAATAATAAAGTATCAAGAACGTTATTGTACAACAATTAAAGAGGTCTAATGACGTAACTCGACTACTTCCACAAGTTTATTCATAGTACACAGAAAAATTTTTAAAAGTGTTTGTATGCTCCTTATGAATGATAATCTCTTGTTTTAACTGACAGATGAACTGAACTTTTTTGTATATCTATTTTGTAAATTTGTAAAGCAAATTGAAATTGTTTAAGCTTTTCAGCCAATATATTGTATAATCGAAAAATATCAATATTTTTAACATGAACAGTTTATATTTATGGACATTTACAAATATTTTTAATATTAACAGTCTTAGATTCGAAAAGCGTTGGAGATTACCAAATCGAATAGCTCATGCGGCGAAGAAATTCTTTCAGCGTCAAAGAAAGTTTTGAAAGACCTTTGTTTTATTTTCAATCCACAAAAAAATCTTAACAGTGTTTGTAGTAATTTTTCGGCACAAGTGTGGGTTTATAATTAAGAGCCCAGATTTTTTATATCCATTTAAACGTAGTTTTTAATTTATATATTTTATTTATAGTTTTTGTAATAATTTATGTTGTTGCAACTTATTGATTCTCTTTTTTTATTTTTTAATTCCAAATACGCTATTGTTAAATAAAAAAAAAACTTTAACTACTAGATATCGGATTAAAAACAAGTTAATAACACATGCCGTTTGTTTTTATTTTTATTTTTGTTTTTTGTTGCTTATTTTTAACTTTTAATCCAAGCTACCGGATTAAAAAGTAAGAAAGAATAATTTCAATCTTAAGGATATAATTAAGAATTAAAAAAAATATTGTTTTAGAATTAACTTTTTTTCGCGTTTGTGTACTTCTTTAAAATTAAAAAATAAAATTTTCAATTTTTAATCCGAACTATATAAAACAATTTTTTTTGTTTTTCAAATCTATAAATATAATATAGAATATAAGAATATTAAGGAATAATATATTTATTTTTAACCTCAACATCGATAATATAAAATAAAAATTTTATTTTTAAACCAAAATTTTGTAATTATTATTTATAAACCAAAATTCGCAATATTCAGTAAGAGTACTTAGATGTAAATAAGACAAATAGTGCTGAACTGAGTTTATATTTTATTAAAAACAAAAAATAACCAAAATGGTAGGACCCGAAGTACTCAAGCGCAAAATAATTTAAAATTCAAAACCAAAATTTCTTTAATTATAAACTTGGTGTTTTAATTTTTTATCAATCCAGTATTTGGCACTTAAATTTCATTTTTTTTATTTTTAATCCGATTTTTGGTATTAAAATTTATTTTTAATTTTTCAATCCGTTATTTGGGATTAGAAAATTTAAAATTGTTATAATTAAGACTTTCGGTTTCGATTCCAAAAAAAAAACAAAAAAATTTAATTGCCTTGCTTGTGGTGACAGGAAACATTACCTAATTAAGTTTGGGTAAAACTTCTGAGGTGATAATTGCACAGTGCTTGACTAGATATTTGTAAGTCGCGGCATATTTCCACTAGACCCGACTGTTTTCTTAACGGAAGAAATCTTCCCTTAAGGGGTTACATGGATTTCACGGCTTCAAAAAACCAAAAGATTTTTAATTGTCTTATTTAATTCTATAACAACTCTAGAATATTGTCTTAAGTTCTCAAGTTGAGGTTAGCTATATGGTCGCTTAAAACTTTAAGCGCGTTTTGTTCGAAATGTGCTTTCATGTCGGTTGTCAAAAGTTCTCGAAAACTACTCAACCGATCTTGATGAAATTTAATACAGGTGTTTGAGATACAATTTACTCGTACTTGGACGAAAGATTTTTTTTTTCAATTACAAATATTTAAAAAAAAAATGTCAAACAAATTTGACCGCAATTTTTATTTATGTTGAAGTAAGGTCTGCCAAAATTCCAATTTTAGCTTTTTTTCCTTCGTTCAAGTACGAGTTTATGGTCTTAACTAAAACACATATTATTTATTTTCATTTTAGATGATCTTGTCAGGAGTTATGCTGACAGCGCGGACGCACCTTTTTTTTTGATGGGTCACCGGAAATGACGTTACAATGACGGAGTTTTAATGTTTTTTTTTTTGAAAATCTCAGAAATTATTCTTTAAATGTGTATCTTTACTTAACTTTTACCATTTTAAACCCACCCTTTGCTACTTAAGTCTCGGCGTTCTTTTCTTTTTAATTTTCTGTGTAGTTATTTGATTTAACTCGAAGCATCGATCTTTATTAGCGTGTGTAGGTGCATTTACAAATAAATTAGGTGCTTAGTAATGGAGTGTAATAAAATGGAAGTATGAAGTATTAACCAAAGATAAAGAGTGAATGCAATTAAAGAGTGAAAATAACAAAAAAAAAAATTGACAGCACATACTAAAAGTCATACAACAATTACTTTTTCTAGTTTGCAACTTTTATATACCTCTTTGCCGATGTCGTTCGTGAGTAGGGATTCTGTAAGATTTTTGGATGTGTCTCCATCACGCGCAACAACAGATTATCCAGGTAATCCTCCAGTTCTTTGACACGTTGACGTTGCAACAACGCTTCATTTTCCATACCATTCGCGATCAGCATGAGTTCCTAGAATAGAATTTAGAAAAATTAGTATACAATGAGACATTTGGGGAAAATAATTATGTTCAACCTCTCGTGATTTGCCCTCGTATTTTTTGGCCAGTGCGGCGGATATCTCCGAGCGACGTTCCGCGTGTGATGTGGACTTCTCATGTCCAATTATAATGCGTTCGTTGGCTTTTGGACTTGGTGTGGAGCGATTATCTTCGCTTTTCTCTGTAAGATATTAATTAATTTAATGGAAAACTTTTCAAATCATTTGTATGCATGAATTAAAACCACAATTTATATAAATAACAATGAAAAGTGCAACTTTAATGCAAATGATTGATTTTTGTATATACACACGCATAGTATATATGGACTTGTATGTATGTATTGCATGTAATCGCTTGCTAAACCCAATTAAAACATATGCGTATTTAAATAGATAATATATATGTATGTGAGTGTGAGTGATGATGAATATTTGCGTTTATGTGTGGACAGCGCACAAATGAAATCCACTGGCGGATTTGCGTTTGATTGGCTTTACAATAAAAGCGTGCATTTAATTTTCACAACAATTACTATATATATGTACACTAAAACGAAATAAATCAGGTCAAAGCATTTAATGCTGACATTGCACAACATTTACTGGTGTATGTATATTGGGAGGACTTTTTTATTTTCTTAGTCATGTCAGATTTAAAAGCCAGGTTAATTAATTAAGACATTATACACATAAAGCTTTCTTTTCGATTTTTTTGCGCACTTGCACGTGTGTACACACATACACACGCACGTTTTCACATTCAATTGCAACAAATCCGCCAGCGTTAGCCGCCACAGCCAACAACAACAACAAACGTTCATCAACCACTGCACACCGTCCCTCTCAAACGCTCACCTCGCTTATTCAGATACTTGAATTTGCCCAAGCGCCTTTCGCGTTTCTCACTAACAATGTCACTTGGTGATTGCTCGGGCGTGCTACTGTAAGGACTTTGTTCTTCTTCGAGTGATGTTGATCGTTTGGCAAAGTTCAATATGCGTTGATCTTCCTCACGTCGCTTGGCTTCGCGTCGTTTCTCCTCTTCACGCTGGCGCAACTCCTCTTGTAAAGCCTCCTCTTCTTCGCGCAACCGCTGCTCATTTCTGCGTAGCTCCTCCTCGAGACGCGCATCTTCTGCGGCGCGTTTTCGCTCTTCGCGCTCAGTAGCTTCGCGACGATTACGTTGTACCTCGGCGGCAATGGTAGCCGCTTCAAGTTCAGCTTGGCGCTGGCGCTTAGTCTGTGTCTGAGCTGCGGCGTCTGCAGCGGCTTTGGCAGCTGCCGCTGCTTCAGCTTCAGCTGCAGCTTTAGATTGCGCCTCAGCTTGACGTTTGAGTTCGAGCTCTTGCTCTTCTTCAGCGCGCTTTAATTCCGCTTCCCTTTCACGGTTACGTGGCATGGCCTTTGGCACAGAAGGCACTTTAGATTCTGCCTGTATGAAGGACTGTGTGTGCCACTTCTTATCTGTATCCAAATCAAATAAGTGCGATTTATTGCGTTGCTCGAATTTAGCAAACGAAGCGTTGAGTTCATTGAAATCTTTTGTCTCTTCATCTGGCGAAAGTAAACTAATATTTTGTGTAGCTGCCACAGGTTTAGGGTTTATAATAAGTTCTTGTGGCCTTTTAGCAACGACTTCCTTGACTTCGGTTTTAATCGATTCAGGAATAATTTCTTTCTCGTCCTCTTCGGACTCTGAAGACGATATTGAAGAATCGCTCTCGCCATTTACTTGTGACTTTTTCACATTAGAGAATCCATTTGCTGGTTTCACAAAACTTTGTTCTTCTTTCTTTTCTGCAATCATATTTTCATCATCGTTTGTTGATAATTTCTGCTCGGCCTCTTCATTGGGTGTTGGTAGGGGCACACGCGATTGCTCCCAAGAACGTCGTTTCAATGAATCGGAACTGCCAATCTGTAAGCTTTGTTTATATAATTTAGATTCCCATTCGTCTAGGGCAGGTTCCTTTTGTTTCGGCGACGAGGCTATCATGTCGTTGAGTTGTTGTTGTGTGCGTGGTGGTTTCGAGGGCGGCGGCAGTGTTCGTGCACGGACGCTGAAGTCATTTTCTAACTCCTCTAATTCGGGATCTACGGCGAGATCCTCCTCCACCAAATCTCTTCTAGATGATAGCTTACCTCCAACTTTGTTCAGCAACGGTGAAGGATTACGTGGCGCAAAATTTTGTGTGGGTGGTTGTAAACTCGACCGTATATTCAACGAACTTGCTGAACTTTTGTGTGACAAATTGTCAAAGACAAATTCATCCTCGTCCTCACTGATCACACCGGGATCAGCTTCACCAGCACGTTGCCCGTAACGACGACTTCCGCCATTCGAACTGTTCGGCGTGCCAATGCTTGCAAATGATCCACTGAAATTGGATACATCATCGCCATCCTTGTTCTTCTTCTTGCTGTGCAAATGCATTTTCGAACCAATCGATTTAGCGAACTTCTTAATGCCTTTGCGCTTTTCTATTGTGCCTATTGAGAGCAAACTGCCACCCACGGAAGAGGCCAGTTGGCCAATGGAAGACTTGTGTTTTTCCTTCTTGCTCAGATCGGTCAATGAGCCGGATTTGACAATGAAGGTTATGCGCGCTTCCAGCTCACCGCGCTCTTTATTCTTTTTCTCCTTCCCGGGTTTACTCTCCAATTTGAACCATTTGGAACGCGGCCGATCGTATACATCCATTTCATTGAGTGGCAATGTGGCCTGGCCAAGAAACTCATCTATGCCGAGATTATTGCGATGCAAACAGGTCAGAACGAGTTCAGCACGATTGCCTTGGTCGGGAATTTTACTATATGGTAAAGGACAAAGTTGTTAAAATTCAAGCTGTTTTACAATAGTGGAAATCATATGCACTAGGCATTAAGTCCTAGGTTACTTACAGTTCGCATTCCTCATTCCAACTGACGTTCATCTCTGCCTTTTCTTTGACCGACGTCTGATACTTTTCTTTGCCCAACGATATTGTGACAAAGCAGTTGTTGGTGTCATTTTTGCCTTTCGTCAGCAAACCTTTTGCTCGTTGAACTAAATGAAAAGAGAGGGAAATCAAAATAGTAAATATATTTTTTGATCTGAAATTATGAGTTTGTTAAAGGGATTGAACTATATTTTGCTCTAAATCTCTAAATATCTGATGGTAATATTATTAATAATAATAGATGAGAAATTTTTTCAGACTTTTCCACAATACCAAAAGAGATTCAACAGTTCCAGGTAAGCGGCAAACCGAGTGGGACCTCGGTGGTAATTATACCCTGAACAGGGTATATTAATTTTGCCACGAAGTTTGTAACACCCAGAAGGGAACGTCGGAGACCATATAATAAATGATCACCGTGACGAGCTGAGTTGATTTAGCCATGTCTGTCTGTCTGTCCGTCTGTATATACGCGAACTAGTCCCTCAGTTTTTGAGATATCGATCTGAAATTTTGCACACTTCTTTTTCTCCCCAAGAAGCTGCTCATTTTTTGGCGGCAGTGACGGCCGATATCGGACCACTATAGCATATAGCTGCCATACAAACTGAACAATCGGAATCAAGTGCTTGTATGGAAAACTCTTTCATTTGACAAGGCATCTTCATGAAATTTGGCATGGATTATTATTTGAGGCAACAATGTAATCTCGGAAGAAATTATTCAGATCGGATGACTATAGCATATAGATGTCATACAAACTGAACAATCAGAATGAAGTGCTTGTATGGAAAACTCTTTCATTTGACGAGGTATCTTCACGAAATTTGGCATGTATTATTATTTAAAGCATTAATCTAATCTCCGAAGAAATTGTATGGATCGGATGACTATAGCATATAGCTGCCATATTAACTGAACGATCGGAGTAAAGTGCTTGCATGGAACATTTTTTTTATTTGACGAGGTATCTTCACGAAATTAGGCACGAGTTATTGCTTAAGGCAACAAATTATTCTCCACAGAAATTGGTCAGATCAGATCACTATATCATAAAGCTGCCATACAAATTGAACGTTCGGAATCAAGTTCTTGTAAGGGGACTTTGTATTTGTGAAGGGTATTATAGCTTCGGAGCAACCGAAGTTAACGTTTTTTCTTGTTCTAAAGTAATTTTAATATAACTATTGCTAACTTATAATGGTAAATATTATAATAATCGATATTAACGTTAAGCTTCCTAATATTTACATATGTGTACGTTATATTTATAGAATACATATGAGGTGTGTACAGAAAATAGCTCAGAGAGTATAAATGCCCCTTTTCAACTGCATTCATTGCTTACTTTGTCTGTGGCAGCCGCTAGGGTTAGACGTGTTTTTAAGAGCTTGGCGATTTTCGTTTCTTAAAATAAATGGATCAAAGAATTTGTTCGTGAAAGTTCTTGGCCAATAATGTTACGATGCGCCAGCTTCCATATTCGCCAGAGATGGCTCCATGTGACTTTTTCCTATTTTTACAAGATAGATGAAAATCGCTGAATAAGCTTAACACTATCCCAAAAATTGAGTTTGAGAAGTTTTTCGGCAATTGCAAGAGGCGCTGGCATAAGTGCATAATATGGAATGGGGACTATTTTGAAAGCAACAACATACATTAATGTACGTGACAATGACAAATGAATACATTTCAAATAACAGTTGGGTCTACGTAACCGGAACGAACCCGGCCTTTTTGCGTCCAAGGACTGTCAACTTGGCAAAATTCTGCAGTTACGACAACAACAACAACAATAAATATTTTTTTCAAAAAACAAAAATTCCCGTTATTTATTTAACACACCTCGTCTATATATTGCTGTGGGGATCGGGATAGTTAATGACTGGTGGACTTTCGAAGTCTTATATCTGCAATTACGTCTGTTTACATGCATTTAGCTTTGAGATCGTTTTGCATAAGAAATCATTTTCGGTAAATCTGATGAGCCTATATCATCCCTTTAGTAGTAAAAAATTTATGTACACGGTTGTATGAGTATAAAAAATTAGATTTTTTTATTAATCTACCTAACAATAAAAGTGTTCCGGACGAACTTAGTGCATCACTACTTTATAAAATCGTTTTCACCTGTATGTGTGGATTTAAAATCACCCATTAAACTGTATTATCTTTCGGTAATTTTGGTCATTAGATTGTTGTTAGAATTAATTGTTTTTAGTCGTTCTATCAACTACTGTTACTTCGTTGTTGTTTGCTGTTATAGTTTGGAACGACCACCGCTGCAATGAAGGTCGTTTGGTATTTTTCGTTATTTACAATTCTTAGTGTTTATATACTTATTGAATAAAAGGATATTTGTGTCTTCTTTTTCAAAACTAATAAATGCGGGACGCAATAGTTCGATAAGAAATTTTCCGATTTTAAAATGTGTCGTTTATTCGTGCTACGCCGGCATGGGATATCTCTTTCTATACTCATATAATTCTATATATATATATCAAATGTTTGCAATAAGCAATTTGTGTTATTTTTGGAAAACTAGAAAAGAACGTGTACGAAACTTCAGATCGAAATCTCGAAAAATAGTTCCTCAGTTCGCATATATACAGATCGACGGAGAGACAGACATGGCTAAATCGACTCAGATCGACATGCTGATCATTTATATATACCATATACTTATACATACATATATACAAGGTGCGTTCCAAAGTAAACAGGACTTAAAAAAAAACGACAGAACAAATGGTTTTATCGCAACAAGAAGCTACAAAGATTATTTGATGAATTCGACCTGGTTTCGCACATTGAATTTTACCATAAATCTCTGAAAACAAATGAGACAACACGTCAATTAACCTCGACGCAATTATACCTACCATTGTGATTCGTCATCGAAATTATCGACAGATATGTACGTAGGTATATAGAGATATATATTTATGAGAATCATTGTATAAATGCACAATACAAGTAAATTGAACAAGAGTTCTTAAAGAAACCACAAAATAGAAGAGAAAATATACTTTAAAAGCAAATAACTGGGAACAACAGTTAAGCACAATAGCTGCTCGTTGCTGACTGCCGATTCAACCGCGACATTGGAGGCGACTCAGCTGAAAATGGAGCGCTCAAACCAAATGCCACACATAATGACCAATAAATATCGCGACATAATGAGGCAAACAAACAGAGCTAATGACTAATAATTTTGCGGAATGTTTAACAAAGCAACGCAGGCAACGAAACAGCGAGCCAGTCAATTATGGTGCCAGTTAACCGTAATACTTGAAAGAAAATATTTTTATACACAAACGCATTATTATACTCTTGCAACATGCTGCTACAGAGTATAATAGTTTGGTTCACCTAACGGTTGCTTGTATCACCCAATACTAATCGAGTTAAATATTGGGCACCATAAGAAGCTTGGCATTGCAGATGGACGTAATCGGACCACTGCCACGCCCACAAAACGCCATTAATCGAAAACCAATAAATTGCCATAACTACCATAAGACTGTTATTTGGTATAACGAATTACATTAGGGAGGAGCATCTGCAGTTTACAGGGCGTGGTCCCGCCCTCTTAGAGGTTTAATGTGCATATCTCCTGAACCACTAAAACTATAATAACCAAATTTACTCAGGACAACTCTGTTTAGCACCCCTACCGATGGTGTGAAACCCCGCCTACTCTTCATATAACGGTTTTGATTAAAACATCTAAAATGCGATAACTCATTTAATAAACCAGTCTATCAGAGGCTATTTACACATAGGATTGTACAATTAAGCTTTATAGCAGTCAAAACAAAAATTGGGCAAGGGGCATGGCCCCGCCTACTTTTAGAGAAAACTCCATATCTCGGGACCTGCTCGATCAATTTCAACCATATGTAACATTCCTATACTAAAGTGCGAAAATGGACGAAATCGAACAGTAACCACGCCTATTTCCCATATAACACAATTTTAAAATCCATTTGTTTTTTCACTTTCCAGCATGCAAATCAAGAAACAATGAATGTATGGGGATAAAGATTTGCATGAATAGTGCGCTTATAGTAGGTCAAAAATGGGTTGAATCGGACCAATACTTCGTTTAGCCCCCATATACCTTTATACCGCATATATAGGCCAATATGTGAGTTATCTTAATGTTTTAATCATTACAGTGTATCTTTGTGCCTAAAATGGATAAAATTGGGCGAAAACTTGACCTAGCCCCAATATAACTAATATCAGGATCAATACTACCCCCAACTCCCATATACTACTTATAATGATCTTCGTTATTTTAACAAGTTTTATGCCGAATATGTCAGTCATATATAGCTGACCTCGAGCAATTTTTCAAAGCTGTATCTCCAAAACTATTACTGGAATCAACTTGAGAATTTAGGGCAATATTCTAGAGAAGTGATAGAATTAAATAAGATAATAAAAACAATTTTTTTGAAGCTGTGAAACCCATATAGTGCAATCAGCCCGTTTCTTTCTCTACCCCAATATACCCCATAAAATGATTTCAGTTTTTCCACCTGTCTTTTAATCGTTTAGGTTGGTCAAAATGTGTGATATTTAAATAAGATTAAATGAACAAGTTTTCTTAAAAATGATGTGGTTTAGCGCTAAATTAGAATAGAATTGGTCTATACATTGGTCCAAATTTCATATCCCTAATATATTGAATTCCGATCCTCTGATTGACGTTTTACACATCGATATAATAAAATTAGCCTATTCGACCGATTAATTATCCCTACTCCCATATGTATATCAAATTTGAAAGTGTTTTTAATATAATTTTCGCTGACGCAAACTAAAATATAGCAACAAAGCTAAGTCTTATGGCCTTCAATATAAGTCAAGAAGATACCAAATTTGTTTGTAATTTATTCACGAATTCATCGAATATTGGATGTTTAAATTCTTTGGCAACATTTTTTATTATAAAATTTTCCCAGCACCTGAAGGAATTTCCCAGGCTTTGATTATTGCAAGTTGCAAGAGTATAAAATGTTCGGTTACACCCGAACTTAGCTCTTCCTTACTTGTTTTGGTTTTTGTAATTATGCAAGGCTTCACAGGTAACTTATAT